TTTTCTTTTTTTTCTTTTCCAGAACCAGGGATTGAACTCAGGCCCTTGCACTTGCCGGGGAAGTGCTTATTCTACTGAGCCATCTCCCCAGCCCCAATATATTTTTTTTTTAATTTTATGTGTAAATCCATTTTAGGATCATTAAACAAAATCAATGAGATAAATGAATTTTAACAAATGAAGTGCAGCACTTAGAGTCCAAAGAGTGCTATTTTCTAAAATTGCTTAATTTTTACCCACTGCCCTTTTGGGCCAACACATTACAGTTGTAATCTAGTAACTTTCACTTGAGAGCATTTGTATTTTATCCTGGGATGTCTCAACAGCTGGATTGTTTAAAATTAAAAAAAAAAAAGAGTAAAGTTCACTCTTTGTGGACTAAATAATTTTTAAATCTTTCCCTCCCCTTCCCTCCTCTTGTGTCTCTGTCTGTCTCTGTCTCTGTCTGTCTCTCTCTGTCTGTCTCTGTCTCTTTCTCTCTGTCTCTCGCTGTCTCTCTCTCTGTCTCTGTCTCTCTGTGTCTCTCTCTGTCTCTGTCTCTGTCTCTGTCTCTGTCTCTGTCTGTTTCTGTCTCAATACCAAGTCTTGCTATGTAGCTCAGATTTGTACTGATCCACCTGTCTCAGCCTCCCCAGCGGTTGGTTCACTAGTCTTGGAATTTAAATGCATTTGAGGAAGACTCAAGGGTAGGATTGTTGAATCATACTTTTAGGATTTCTTTACATTTATAAGAATATACTGCATTGTTTTGTAAAATGGTTATGTGAGTTTGATTCTCATTATCAGTGACTAAAATATTTGTCTAAATGTTTTACTAGATTGTGATTTTTGGTGTTTGTTCATTTGTTTTAATTTCATCAGTTGTGCTTGCTTCCATAGCACATATACTAATGATTTTATCCACTATATTATGTATGTAGTGATAGTTCATTGGCATTTTAAATTTTTGCTTAAAATAACACTTATAAACTCCTTATATGTTTATTTTCTTTCTCAGTGTCTCCTTTGATGAAATATCTACATTTAATTTTGGTATTATAGATTTTTTTGTTAGTGACTTTGTACAAGTTTTAATATACTGTAAGTACAAATCTTTTATATCACATATCACATATCAAATATGTGATTTGGAAGTACTTTTTCCCTGTGTAGCTCATTGTTTCATTTTCCTAAGATTATCATTTTCTAAACAAATTTTACATTTTAGAATGCAAATTATTCCATTTTCTTTTTTATGGACATTGCTTTTGTTGTAATATGAAAATTTAAGAAAAATTTGTATATTTTCTACAAATCTTATAATTTTACATTCGTACTTACATCTGTATTCCATTATGTGTTATTTTTTAATGCCATATGGTTTATGCTGATGTTTCTTGTTAAAAAGGATAACTCCAAGTATTCCAGCAGTTACTATGGAAAAGACAATCCTGTTTTGTCATTCATCAGTGAACTCCACTTAGTTATGATATGCTATCTGTTTAAATATAAATGGATTTGAAAATGCTAACTTTATTAATCATTTTTACATGTGTTTATGAGGGCTGTTGATATTAATAGACAATTTTGCTGGCTTGTTTTTAAATTAAGATAATGCTCATGTGATAGATTGAGTAGGAACATGTTCTTTTATATTTTCGGTAAGCATTTAAATGCTTTTATTTCTTTAAATGTTTGTTAAATTCATAGTGCATCTTTGTGATCCTAAAGTTTTCATTTTGAAAAAACTTTTGTTTCTATACTCTAACATTTTTTAATAGAAACAGGGTCACTCAAGTTACTGGCTTTTCCTTTAAATGAGTTTTGGACTTTGTGTTTGCTAAGTAATTGATTACTTGTGTCCTAGTTGTTGATTTCCAGGTGTAGATTTTTTTTTGTATTTTCTGTCTTTTGGATGTCTGTGAAGCTGATAGTAACTGATATCTCTTCTTTTATTCCTTATATTGTTAATTTGGACCCACTCCTTTTCCTCTCATTTGTTAGTATTCTCATAGACTCATCAGTTGTACTGCTTTTTTTTTTTTTTTAATGACCATTTGGTCTCTGTCAGGGTTTTTTTTTTTCTTTGTTTTTAAACTTATTTTCTGGAGTAAAAAACAAACTAAAAAATAACAGATAAAAAGAATAACATGCAATACAGATGTTACAGATTCTTAAAACAAATGTAGCTAATATAAAATGGTTGATAAATTATCTATTTTTATCATCAGATCTCTCGCTCAGATTAACAGATAGTTATGTAATTTTTGTTTATGTTTCCTTTTTTAACCTTTTTAAAATTTATCTTAGAGTATAGTAATAATTGATAAGATATTAAAAACACAATTAGAAGACCGAGATGACAGGTATTCAAGCATGGTTTTGTATTATACTTTGCTGTCCTATATGTACTTGATTAGATCAAAGATATCAACGTACAGAGTTAGTCAAGGTGAAAAATCTACACATTAATTTCTATTTTCAAAAAACAGGTGAAAATTTTTAGTACAATCACCTCAATCATCCTGTATATATACTTGCATATTTTTCCCCTTTCCTTTTTTCCTATATTTTATCCTTTCTCTCACCTTTGTTGTTTAATCCTTAAGTTCCATTTCTGCTCATTTTACTATATCTGTTATACCTTTCAGGTTTTATTTTTTCTTTAGGGTTCTTCCAGTAGGAAGGCAATATGACATTTACATATATGGGTCTTATTTATTTCATGTTTAAGTATAATCTCTAGTTGCATCCACTTACCGATGAAGCCTTCCAAGTTTTTCTGTATAGCTGAGTAATACTGCATTGTATAAAAATACCACATCTTTTTCATCCATTCCTCAAGTGATGGGCATTTGGGTTGTTTCCAAGATTTGGCTATGACAAATTGTGCTGCTATAAACGTGATGCACATACATCACTATGGTGTGATGTTAGCAGTTTTTTGGGGAAAATACCCAGAAGGGGTATAACTGGATTGAATGAGATTTCCAGTCCTAGTTTTTTGAGGAGTCTCCACACTGATTTCCATACTGGTTTTATTAGTCTACATTCCCACCAACAATGGAAAATGGTTCGTGTCCAGTAGGTCCATTTGTTCAAAGGTCTGGTTCAGTTCTGTTACCTCTTTGCTAAATTTTTTGTCTGCTTGACCTATCTTTTTGGGATAAGGAGCTGTTAAGGTCACTCTTAGGAAAAAAAAAAAAAAAAAAAGACCAAGATAAAGGTCACTCTTAGGTGTTAGGGTTGTGGTGTTGGATATTAGATTTTTCACATCCATTAAAATTTGGCTTGTATAGTTGGTTGCTCCTGTATTTGTTGCATACATATTTATGACTGTTATATCTTCCTCTTGTATTTTCCCCCTACAAAGTATGTAGCACAATTCCTTCGGTGCTAGTTTCTCTTCCTTTTGTTCTGGGTGGACTTGGGACCGAAGATTGCATTTTGCTCCTTCTTTTTGTCATTTTCTATTTCAGAGAAAACAATTTGGGGGCCTGGCCCTAGCTCAGGCCTTTAAGTGGCTGCTTCCACAAAGCTGTGAGCCTCAGGTTGCTGGAGTTCGAACCTCACAACTCTCCTGCTGGCCAAAAGTGCCCTGAAGGCATTCGAGGAACCAAAAAAAAAAAAAAAGAAAACAATGTGATTTCTGTGAAACTTTTTTTGTGAAAGTTTGATAGTCATTAGCTATATCACTATGATCAGAGCCTCTCTGTAAAGAGTCTGTTCTTTAGCTATCTGTCTTATGCCCTTGTATTGACTGTGAGACACTGATTTCTGTTTGTCACTGTCCTATCCTTCAGTAT